TGCTTTTATGATCGTGATTAACGCGAATTTTTGTAGCTTAGCCGCAATGCGTCTAACCATGCCTTGTCACGGTATCTTTTTAAATGTCCTCTGAACGTTATTGTATAATTCAAGGAAATTTTGACAACATAAGCAGTTAAGGTCTTACATTTTCTCATACTGAAGCAACCACGTAGACGGAATCCTAATGAGCTACTAAAAGGAGCTTAAAGACATCTTCAGACCGTTTTACTGTCAGCAGGAGCAAGAGAATTGTTCAGACGCATGCGCACTATCAAAACAGGTGATTCTTCCTGTCATTTTCTTTAAACTGTCACCGAAAAGTCCAAAGATTGTCCGTAAGAGAAGAGTCATCACATGCTGATGTTCACCATAGTAAACTCATTTTGATCATCAGGGGTGGAATAACCTAGCGCAATGTCACTAAAGTTTTTAACCCTGTGTAATAATGGTAAGGTATTCTGTTCTTTCCAATAATGAATTTCTGATAGCTTGGGACGACAATTTGCAGTGGACCAGATCAGTTCAGCTTGTAAGCAGACATCATAGCACCGGTTTGTTTGGGAAACTGTAGCAGACAGTTTCTGATTATCAGAAATCACTCATATAATAATGTAACTTTCAGGGTAACTTCTATTTGAGTGCAGGGCAGCTTATTTTAAATAATTTATTAGGTCTGGATGAAAAAGAATCCGTTGAAAAAAATTTAAAAACAAGAAAATATTGTTAATCTGATATCTCAAACAAATGACAGATGTCAAGTGTCCTAGTTTTTTCAATAATTTTCATATTAGGTTCACTTAAAATTATGTAGTTTTGTATCCTTTTAGGTTGCATATACCTACGACTATACGTGCTACCTATAAAGTACTGCAATAAAAATGCTGCCATATTCCCGTGTGTTTTTATATGGTGGTAGATAATTTACGAGCCTGTCATTTTAGCATACGCAACAGATGTTTCAGTTCATTTTGTGGTATGAACAAAACAAGACGGTACCTCATACCCATTTACAACTTAATAGCAAAGCGGTAACGCCTGAAGTGTCGGCACCAGGCACGCCGAGAGCGGCGTTGTATACTGACATATTTTAACGAAATCATCTATCTAATAAATAAACCAATTTATTGCTTTTTAACAGCACTAATTGACAACTCCACTTATCACTAATTTATGTTAGATTTACAACACAGCCGCGGTCGCGATCGCCTGGACTGCTCATTACCGATTATTGACTCACGTCTTGATCCGAGCCTTTATACCTGTGTTGCCTCTGGTTGATTTTCTTAGGAAGTTCGAGAGCAATCGAGGTTAGTTTTCGAGGTTCTAGTCTCCGTAGTTCTCCTAGAGATAGCCCTCATGACGTCACAATATTATTGACAGAATGTTCAAATCTTCGCTACAGGCTTTTTCAGCTGAACTTTGACCTGATTCTAATTGAATTTGAAATTAACTTAGATACCGAATTCCCATCATACATATTATCCGCTTTGATTCTTTCGATACTGCTATGACTATTTCTATACGTATATATAAATTATAAAAATCATTCAGAATCAGATGTCAAAATTATCACAGCGAATCACTCGCATGACGGCATCGAAATTAATCTCCAGGGTTGGAATCCAGCTAGAGTTCAGTTAGAGCTGAGTCGGGAAAATAGATTTTGACTTTGTCGATAATAAAAGGCATATATTTTTATAACACACACAACGTGGCCACTGAACCTCAAGCTCTATAGAACCTTTCTTACCACATCATCGCATACAAAATGAAACTGGAGCACCATACATATTTTAGCACGTTTTCTGCTATTCAGTGCTATTCTCTGGGCATAGACAGTCATATATAATGAACATTTTCTCGAGCGACCCAAATGAACTCGTTCTAAAAATATTAAATCCGTTGAAAAAAACATGATTATTCAGAAACACTGACAGTTTTTTTATTTAACGAGCTGTTGAAATCAAAGGTGAAAGTACTGTTTATTTTTTTCCTGAAGAGTACCTATCAAGTCATGAATCTTTGAATTCGGGGTCCTAGGTCAAACGGTTCGGTCTCGAGGCACTCTCAAAGTTAGAACGTTCGGAAAACTAATGAATTTTAGCGTGTAGTTAGCTTTTCCATTGTCTCATGCTCGTGGAAAGCGTTAGGCCCCATAATATATATTTTGATGTACTGATGTCCATTGTCTGAGGAATTCAAATTGCGATCTGATGTCTCGTTCGGCAGATTTTTTAGACTGAAGCTATCTTAGCCTCCCTAAAAAACAAAAAAAAATGTATAATTATTTTTTTCTTCGTAAAGGAGAAGGATCGACGTATCGCCCTAAGTGACTTGAATTTGGTACTCGGGCCTCTAATTTGCTCGAATAGGCAATTTGGACAAATTTTTTATATTTTGCTGGAAGATCTATATAGATGTCATTAGCATATGATCATCTGATCAAGGAGGTCAGCCATTGATGTGCTAGTAGCACTGTCGGCATTGAACATTTTTTTTATTAAAAAGGGCTTCGTACCGAGCCCCTCAGTACAATTTTTATAGCATCTTGTGGTATTATTTCTTTATGTTGTACGTCAGTAGAACTGTCATATCTGAGTAGCTCGTCAAACTCTGTCCCTAACCCCATACGTAAGTAAAGCAGAAAACCCACAGTATTTTTACTTTCACGAAAAAACATGTCACTGGTCCCTCTATAACCAAAGTATTGCTCGGATTTGGATGCAATTCTTACATAAGGGTACTACTACGTCAAGGACAAAAATTCTTTGTAGCTTTTAAAATAAAAATATCTGAATCGTCACTTTTTGATGCTTCAGAAGGTACTGATCATTTTTGAAAAAGTTTTTAGTGACTAAAAATTAGCGGGTGGGAGTTGTAGGGGGGAGAGAAGGGTATATCTCAATTATTTGATGTTATTATATTTATACGCTACCAGCCCCGGTAGTACAACGCACCTATTAGCCCTTTTTGATACATCATAGGTTTCCCCGTACATTTGTCTTTAGAACTTTAAAACTGATGAAGAAATGTTTTCGATACGCGTCTCATTTTGATATCTGAGCTTAGTGTTCGGCGTAACGGTCTGCTTGATTGATCTGCTCGTACTCCGGCGGAGCTTCGTTGGGCGCTGCCGCGTCTGACGATATGGGAAGGGGCAACGTTGCCAGCTGGACGGTAACTACCGGTCGGATAGGAAAAAGATGTATATGGGCCTGTTTGACTTGACTTGATCCGTTCAATTCCCTATATGCTCGTAACTATCTTTGACGCCTTTTTTTCATACTGAAGAAGCCGTAGGCAGAAACCTAAATGCCAGTGCTGCGTGACTCCTATAAGGAACTTGAAGCCGCGTTGTTAATCCGATTTTTGTACTGCCAAGGGTTAGCAGAACTGGAAAAATACTCTTGAGGCAGATTGTTCCACAACACTACAGACAAAGGAACGGTCGTACCGGTCAGTTCCGAATATACGAAGTTCGACAGAGTTGGGATGGGAGGCAGAAGCCTGGCGAGTCCGACTGGCATGCTTAACCCGCATCATGGAGGAGAGCTCTGATGAGCAAAGCCCGTTGGCAAAGGATCTGGAGATTATCCGTTAGAGAAATGAAACAACCCTAATCGAAACAGCACCGAGTAAGGAAAATGTAGTTGGGGCGGCAGCACCCCAAACCTGTGAGCAGTACTAAAGGCTAGATCTTACCTGGACCTTGCACCAGAGTGTGATGCTTTCATCAGTGAAGAAAGCGCTACTAGTCTTCTTTTCTCCAGCTTCTCAGAAAAGATCGGCTTGCCACACTGAATGCCTGCATGTAGAGTGCTGTCATCGGCAAAGCTGTGGATCGGATTAATTATACAGAATAGAAGGTCGTTGGTAAGTAATAGAAACAATGTTGGGCCTAATAGCGATATCTGGGGAACACCCGGCATTTTTGAAATGACAACCTTTTCTATGAACGGACAAGTGTCGCCTACTATCATAGGCAAGGCATCAATAAGGGGAACACTGCCTGTTTATCAAACTACCAGCTTTGGTATACTATGCAAAAGTTACATAATCTAAACACAAGCGAGTATTGCTGGGTGGCAGCAGTGTTACCTGGTACTATGTTTTGTTTTCGGTATCTCTGAGAAAAGTCCTACACTATACTGATGATTGCTCACAAGCATAAAGCGTTGTATGCGGTTGGTGATGGCCGCAAAGACGAAAAGCAAACAGATCCTATCCAGCCTGCCTATTTCTTTGTTTGACTGTCCTATTATGCGTAATATAATCTTTTTACTATGTAACGACGAGCATCATATTATTGTGTATTTAGGTAGACCATCTGAATGGATAGGTTAGCAAAATTCGTATTCTAACACTAATGCACTGCATTACTTTGGTCAACTTTATGCTAGGCTAAATCTTGACGTCCATATTTCTGTTGCCAGTTTCTTGGTTTGATCTACTGACAGGTGTTAAGTTCATGATACACTGATAACTGCGAATATGGAAAGGTCTTCCAAGCATTTTCTAGCTACTCTTAAAAAAAACAAACAAGTTTGGCCATAAAGCGTGAGCATGTCACCCAATTTGTTCAGTGGACTTCTACGTGATCACACACATCAATAATTTTACTGTCGTTCTGGCTACATGGTCAGTAAATATCACATTCCTTAACAAATTCTGATGAATCATAGTAAATATGAATCGCCTCAGGGAAGCAAATACTTAAGAGTGTTTTTAAACGGATGGCGACGATCCAAAGGAAATATCAGATGACAGATACTGTGTACGAGGGATGCCTTTTAAGTTTTGCATATAGAAACATAGTAGGCCGCGCGGATCGAGCGTCAGTACTGAATCTTAACCTCACTCTTCAGTAAACTTAAATTCAAAGTTTCACAACAATACGTGCAGTGTTCTCACTACAGTGAATTTTTAAAAGTAACCAAGTCATTAGAAAAACTGAACTCAGCCGAGAACATCTTCGCGTCATAATTTATTACAACTAGAGGCAATTATCGCAACAAGAATGCCTTGCTGAGTTACTGTCTGTTTTCGGCAACGAAGCGCCACATCAGTCGACAATTTCCCGTTGGTATGGAGAATTCAAACATGGACGGGTGAGTCTTAGCGATGATCCCAGGGTGGGTGCGCCAAAAACGGCAGTCACCCAAGAAAACGTCGATGCTGTGCGCAAACTCATTGAAGATAGACATGTGACATATTGCGAGATTGAGGCGTCCTTGAAGATCTCAAAGATCTCAATTCAAAAAATTTCACTTGAATAATTAGGAGCAAGAAAATTGGTTTCTCGTTAGATACCCCACCTGTTGACTGACGAGCAGAAAGCGGTCAGAGTTAATTGGTGTCAAAAAACGCTTGATCATTTCAATTCCGGAAACTCAAAAAAATGTATACAGCATTGTTAGTGGTGCTGAATCGTGGGTTTACTGTTATGAACCAGAAAAATAAACGACAGTCGGCTGTTTGGGTGTTCCAAGGTGAAGAAAAGCCAACAAAAGTCATCCGTTCTCGAAGTGTTTCGAAAAAGATGGTCGCGACATTTGTGTCAAAAGCGGGTCGTATTGCAAAAATTCCTCTTAATGAGCACAGAACTGTTACTGCGGATTGGTATACCACCATTTGTTTGCCAAAAGTCATCACCGAGCTTCGAAAAATCAACCACGAACGAAGAATCATCCTCCACCAAGACAATGCAAGCTCGCACACAGCCCAAAAAACAAGGCAGTATTTAATGGAAGAAAACGTGGAATTATTGGACCATCTTCCATATAATCCCGATCTAAGTCCTAACGATTTCTGTACTTTCCCGAAAATTAAAAACAGACTGCGTGGTCAAAGGTTCTAGTCACCAGAAGAAGCTGTTGACGCTTTCAAAAATGCCGTTTTGGATCTGCCAGCAAAAGAGTGGAATAAGTGCTTCGAAAATTGGTTTGAGCGCATGCAGATGTATATTAATCTCCGTGGAGAATACTTCAAAAACAATAAAGTCATTTAAAACTACCTACCGTGTTGTTTTTTCCATATGCCAAACTTAAAAGACATCCCCCGTATAAGGCAGCCAATATAATAATGATACATTTTCAATCAATCCAAATAGAAAAAAGTGTTTATATATCACTGAATTGGCATTTTTAATCGTGTAACTTTAGTGTGAAGGAAAACAGACCAACCAACTGATTTGTAGTTGTAGACGTAATATCTTAAAAGCCATTACAAATCCATTGTTGTCAGATGTAACTTTATTTAAGCTAAGTTTTCGCCAGATTGGATCAAGACTGGTGTGGTGCCACACAAACTCAATTTCAGGTCCATGCGGATTACCTTTGCGAAGTGGTAAATTTGAGAGGTGCGGTGCAACCGAAAATGAGCTGTCTAGAGCAGAACTTGTACTTCCCGACGGCCCTTGTATATCGCCATATAGTAGGCCTGCAACGTAAAACATCAAGCTAATGCTCCCAAAGGACTCAGTGAACCGTAGTGAATGATTAGCAGCACGACTCAAGCTACCTTCCCTGGAATTTATAGCGGTGTCTGTATACCGATGTTCAAGGCAAAACCTTGGCAAAGCGACCACTGCGCCATAAATGTCAGCCTGTAAACAAAGATCCATGAATCATGTTGAGGGTGCTTATGTATGGCTCATACGGTCTCTTATCAAATAATTAATTAGCCATTATATGCGTATGTGATGTATACAGTAAACAACAGACAGATGTGACGTTACATGGATTCCTGATTTTGATTGAAGGTTATTTTCGCATTGTCAAGATAGACTCAGTCAGAAGAAAGATCGAAAAAACGAAATCGAAATGAAGCTAAACAATTTTCAAAGGATTTCGGAAGGTTTCAACCTGAGTTATCTCCTTAACAGAAATGAAGATGATAGGTATATTATATTAATGCGATATTGTTTTTGAGGGCCTCTTTCCCTATTAGTGTTATTTTGGATTATTTCGAAAATTCGTATTTCAGTTACCATAGAATCAATACACTTTTATAGACAAGCTTTTATTTGGCTGTTAATAAAATAAACTAAAAATTTAAAAATATTTTTGGACATGTTTTAACAATGAAGAAGCTTCAATACAAGTTTTCAAATAAAGGCGTTTTACATCCTGTCAGAATGTAACACGCTTTTATTTGGGATAAAGGAGCTTCATTTTCGTTCCAATATTTCCAATCGGAATAACTAATTTTTACATTTATAGTTCATTTTATTAACAGCTGAATAAAAGCTTGTTTTTGAAAAAGTATTTTTTATTTTCTACTTTCAGTATCTATAATGTTAAGTAACTAGTTCAGGAATTTATGTATGGGGTTGTCCAAAACGGACGCAGGAAAGTAAACGCATATTTAAAGAAGAAAGATCGATATTCAAATCAAGTTGGGTACTTTATTTTGAAGGTTCATTTATACCATTTATGTATGAAAAATAATATCGCTCAAATGTTCACCACGACTGGATTTACAGACGTCCACACGATGGTCGAAATTTTCAATGACATTTTGCAACATGGTAGGTTCTATGGCATTTATCTCGGCAATGATGTTGTTTTTGAGTTCTTGGAGGGTGGCTGGTTTGTCGACGTAGACTTTCCTTTTCAAATATCCCCATAAAAAGAAGCCCAAGTCCGAGTCAAATCTCACGATCTTGGTGGCCATGGCACATTTCCTTTGCGCGAAATCACGCGATCACCGAAGAAGCACTGCAATCGATGGATATTGACGTTGGTTGTGTGGCATGTTGCACCGTCTTGTTGGAAATAAACATCGTCCATATCCATTCCTTCAAGTTGCGGCAAAAAATAGTCCTCTATCATTACGTGATATCGCTCAGAATTGACGGTAACGGCGTCCCCGGCCGCATTTTCGAGAAAGTAAGGTCCGATTATGCCTTTTGACCACAATGCACACCATACACTCACTTTTTGAGGATGCATCGGCTGCTCTTGATACTCACGGGGATTTTCGTTCGCCCAGATGCGGCAGTTTTGCTTGTTTACCGTCCCATTCAAAGTGAAATGCGCTTCGTCGCTGTACATGATTTTTGATGAAAAATTGGCATCAATTTGGCGGTGTTCAAGGAGCCAATCTGAGAACGTTCGACGCGAAAAATGGTCGGCCCGACGCAGCTCTTGCGTCAATTGGATCTTGTAGGCGTGTACATTCAAATCCTTGTGGAGAATGCGGAGCAAACTGGTTCTCGAAATGCCCAATTCTTGGGATCGACACGTTGTTGATTGTTTCGGATCGTCTCTCACACTCTCCTTCACAACAGCAATATTTTCCAGTGTGCGAACGCTCCTTGGCCGGCCAGAGCCTGGCAAATTTGCCACAGAACCTGTTGCCTCAAATTTACGCACCAGACGACCGATGGTTGTTTCGTTTGGGCGGTTGTTGCGACCGAAATGTTCACGAAGCGCGCGAAACGTGTTTTTTATTTTTGCACCATTTTTGTAGTGTTCTTGAATAACTTTAATGCGGTCTTCAATCGAATACGACTCCATAGCGATCAATGGTAAACATTCAACTAACAAAATGACATGTCGGTGACAGAAAACAAGGATGGCGTCTATGTCAAATTGACGTTTACTTTCCTGCGTCCCTATTGGACAACCCTTTATAATACTTAATGACTTTATTAATAAGACTTCATAAATAATAGATATAAATCATACATATAACGATAAGTCGATATTTTGGGACTAACGTTGAAATTTAGAGTGGCAGTATTGCTTGTAGTTTCTCTCATTAAGAGCTTACATTTTTTACCCATATGAGCTGTGACCATTGAAATTATAAATCGTCTTTTAGATGCGGCCGCCACTTTGCATAAAGCGTTTCACCCATCGAGCCCATTTGATTTCCTTAGTTTACGCGTGACTATTATGTTTCTAAACGCTTTCTTAGGGCTGTCGCTAAATTGGATATAAATATAATGACGTCACTCTGCTCATTGTGTTTATCTCACAAGGCTTTTTAATTTAAGACATATATCATAGTTATATATAATCATCCTGGACCGATCATCATATTGGGTTTAGAGTGACAAAATTTTAGATCAATTGGTTAGGTTTAACTAGTTCATAATAGAGTTTCAAGATTTGTCCCACACGTATTAATAGGTCAAGTTGAAGAAAAGCATGTAACAAAGGTGTAACAACCACCAAAATCCGGAAAACCTAAAGTAATATGAGAGAACCTATGTAATGCCCCACAATTACAGCGTTTAGCCTTTGGTGTGCACAAAGTAATTGCTTTTTCTCTGCGTCCGCATATACCCTGTCCCCTAATTAAAAAAGGTGTAACCCGGTAACCTCGGTGCGGCCTGCGTCTTTCTGTATTTTCCAGCTTCATTATCCCCACCGAAATTAATAAACTGCTCGTACCGTATAAAATGTTGTTCCTTCTTTTACGAAAAGCTTAGCTGACGCGCTAAATGGCGTAAGCGCAGCTTAGCTTGCATAGAAAATAAAAACTTTCTCTCATAAAATTAGCTTCGTTTACTACGCCAGTCCTCAGAACTCAGAAAAAATGCTGCTTTTATTTCAAAGAAATAATGTAAATTGTACTAAATGTATATGGAAGATGGAGGACTGAGCATGATGCTTTGTTCGTCCGACCAAAAAGACAGCCAACCATGGACAACTACTCATCGGCTTGGTCTAGACTTGGTCTCTTGACAAACTATTAGGTGGAACTGTTAGGGATCTCAATTCACGTTTAATAGCCCAGTCACCACGTGACCGATAGATAGCTGAGGATTATGCTGTAAAGTAGATGTAGGGTAAATTTGCCAAATCAACAGGCCGTTATTCTCCACCTATAGGGTAATAGTCCGACAAATACAGCGCATGAGCTTCAAGTAAAAAACAACAAATTTTAGCAAGCAATAGCTGTGAAATGTTGAAAACAAAATATTGTCAAAGTATGAGATATCAGCTTGTAATTGAAACATCACCAGCTTATTGCATATTAAGAATATATAATTCAGTCAAAATTTAAAAAAATGTTTTTTTTTAATATTATCGATTGTTTATTCATGTTAATATTATTTTCTTCAATTGATATGCGATTTTACTGATTTAATATCACCTACCGTGTGTTTTTTCCTATTAATCTCTTGCAGTTAGCCATAAAGCACATACTTGATGACAGGCTCTACCAAAAATTTCATACTTGCCGTTCATCAGTACCATTATAGCAGCTTAGATTGATATTCCCACAAAACCATTCAGGGTATTTGATATCCATACATCTATAAAGTCGAATATTTTTCTTCCTGAACAAACATCCACACTATAAAGACGTCTATTGTTATTATTATTATATTTGCAGCGATCAAGAAATACCCAAATATATGTCGTAAACCTACCGGCAAACCTAAAACCTGCAAAAAAGCTAGAATTTGCAATAACTTTCTCATTTTACTGAGTACACAATCTAGGTTGTATTTATATTATTGGAATAACAGCTGATTATTATATATCAAAACTCTCCAACAAGTGACACATGTGTGGGATCCGTCAACGCTTGGTGCCAGTGGAGTAAGCTCTACCAACTGTTGAAATATACTCTACTATGCTTTATAAGACTATACGCCAAAATCGTTGCACAACACTTGAATAAATGCAAATGAAAATTTAAAACTATTTCCATAACGTCCCAAATAGCTCCGTCGGTACCTCGGGTTATACATCTTGACAGTAGGGATGTTCTATAAGAATCTATATTTAGAAGTATCGATACTTTTGCTTCCCATACCCGATATTTTTATATGCGACACTTGGGTGTATCGATACATGTCAGTATTGTCATCTTTCGATCCGGACTGTGTCAGAAAGAGTTACTAACTTCAGATTACATTTCTTAACTTTACTTAATTTGTCGAAGAGGCTGAGAATAATAATAATAACACTGATCAACAGCCAAAAAATATCCTAAATAAAATCAACAAAATATTACTATTTTTGATGTGCTAAAAC